GCGTAGTTAAGTCTGAAAACAAATCTAATGACTTTAAAATAAATAGCCAACGGAGGACTTGAAACTAAAATTCTTCCTTTCTCTGACACCCACCATATAAACAATAATAATTATATAAAACCGTGTCTAACACATGACTACACAAGGCTCTGGTGACCAAGAAAAGCACACGCTGCTTGTCAGACATAATTGCACATTTGGTTTTTCAATTATTTCTTGTCAAGATCCAGAGCCCACCATCTGAATGCTGACATTAATTATTGGTAAGTAGTTAGTTTTACAATAGCGTTATGGAGACTCCCAGCGATTACCCCGAGGTCTGCAGCTCCCAGCGCTGTTCCCACACTGCCCTCTCGTCCCTCCAAGCCCTCCAGGACTGTCACACAGACTCACACCAGTGAGTGATACCGAATCTGGTCCATCATGTGCAGAAGGGGCTTCAGAAGAAGCTTCAAGAAACTTTCCAATAGACAGCAGCAAGGTAACTGATCCCCAGGCAACGTGCCTCATCCTCAAGAGCCCAGGTCACCTACTGATGCCATCTTCCAGTTGAGTCCATTCTGAGCCCCACTCGAGCACCCGACTCTTGGCAACGTGCTCCAACAGCTAACTGCCCATCATGCAAGAAAAAATCCTGCTTTTTATTGGCTTTTAATTTGCTGCCTTTTAATTTTGTCGACTGTCTCTTTTATTCTTGCAAACGGAAGAAAGAAGTCTCTGATCTACCTTTTCTGGAGTGTTCAAAAACACACACAGCTTTGTCATGTTGTCTCTTAGTTGTCACCTTCTCCAAGGCAAACAGCCATCTCTCTTCTAGCTCCCTTAAAGGAAGGGGTTTTTTCTATGCTCCTAATAATTCTTTTCACTTCTTAAAATTTCCCATTAATAAGCATTCCGTGAGGTACAGGAACCACACACAAGTTAATAAGGTAGGAGAACAGTGAGTGCGTTCTGCCACCACTAATTCTCAGCTGCAAACAGCTGCTCACACTGAACCGTGTTATTTCAAAGGCAGCAGTCAGGCCCGATCAGAGCTGTGGGGGTGACAAGATCATAAAAATCCTGTGCCTTCAGAGCTTCTAACATTTACGTGAAACAGAATAAAATCAATTTAGTACAATAAATAAATAAAAATAGGATCGACCCAATACTAAGGCCACCACATTAAGATCAAGCACGCTATAGTAAAAAAAAAAAAAGTTGCGGAAAGGTAAAGTTGTCCTGGCAACCTTATTTTGCTTTTATTTTTTACTGACATAAATTAATCATTAAAATCTTCCTTGATAGTTTGCAATTAGTGAGAGTTTCAAGCAGCAAGAACTTTGAAAAACATCTACCTTGTATCTCCGGCCGCTAACAGCCTCACAGATGTTGTCAAAGCCAAATTTCAACCTTCAGTCACTGGTAGAGCTTTCCTGAAATACTAAATTTTTATTCCATTTTATTTTTTTTAAACAGACTTGGTAGGTAGGAGAACAGTGAGTGCGTTCTGCCACCACTAATTCTCAGCTGCAAACAGCTGCTCACACTGAACCGTGTTATTTCAAAGGCAGCAGTCAGGCCCGATCAGAGCTGTGGGGGTGACAAGATCATAAAAATCCTGTGCCTTCAGAGCTTCTAACATTTACGTGAAACAGAATAAAATCAATTTAGTACAATAAATAAATAAAAATAGGATCGACCCAATACTAAGGCCCCCCAATTAAAAAAAAAGCACGCTATAGTAAAAAAAAAAAAAGTTGCGGAAAGGTAAAGTTGTCCTGGCAACCTTATTTTGCTTTTATTTTTTACTGACATAAATTAATCATTAAAATCTTCCTTGATAGTTTGCAATTAGTGAGAGTTTCAAGCAGCAACAACTTTGAAAAACATCTACCTTGTATCTCCGGCCGCTAACAGCCTCACAGATGTTGTCAAAGCCAAAGTTCAACCTTCAGTCACTGGTAGAGCTTTCCTGAAATACTAAATTTTTATTCCATTTTATTTTTTTTAAACAGACTTGGTCATTTTCCTTTTTTTAACCATCTTTTGTTCAATCAGGTAGATGCTGAAGTGGATTTTGTTTCCAATTTTCTAAAAGAAAAAAGTGATGGCCAGACTTACACTTCTTCTCTATGTGGGTACAAAATAACAGTGATAATGGAAGGAAGTTCTGCCACCCCAATGGGTGCTCGGGTACCCACCTTTGGGAAGGCCATTGCTCACACCCAGGAGGATGCTCAGGCACTCAGCGCCGAGGGCACCTCCCGCACACCCGGGAAGGGAGGACGCCCACAGGGGACACCCCGAAGGGTCAGCCCCCACATGGAGAACGCACTTGACCACCTGCTCTGCAAAACCCTCCAGTGAGAGCTACAAAATTGAGTTATAAGTCAGAATAAAGAATTCAGGGGAAGGAAGTGGTGCCTGGCTCCTTTCCCCTTTTACTCCTCAGCCTACGCCCAGTTTTCCTTCCAGCGCTTCGTTCAGGCTAATTCCCAGTGTCCCGAGAGGGAGCACTGCCGGACCACACTGACGAGCCACCCCAAAACTGGGAAAAGAGATGTTTTCCTCTGCATAAGATGCCTGATGCTGGTGCTGCTCCCCACTGCCGAAATCCGCCTGCCCACCCTTCCACCCCTGCCGAGCCCAAGCCAGCAGGCACCCCAGAGGCGGTCAATGCCGGCCAGCGCTGCCATACCAAAAAGCTGCTGGTAATGAGGGTATTTAATTTTGAAACGCCAAGCGGCGGAGCCGGGGCACCGGGCAGGGACTGCAGCTGTCACGGTGGGGAGCACTCGGTGCACATTCAGCAGCGGGAGGAGGACCCGCACTGCAGCGTTTCGGAGATCAGAAGAACAGAGCGGGGTTTAAATGTGGAAGGATGTGTTTCACCTGATGGATAAAACTTCAGCAGCACTTTAAAGTCTCCAGAGGAAACAGGAGGGTCTTCTGGCATATGGTTAGCGGAGAGATGGTATCGCTGGCAATGCAAAGAGGGGGACATGAAATGCAGCTCGAGCCGTGAAGGAGGCAGCCAGTGCTGGAGAGGAGCGCTGGTGCTTGCTGCTTCGCTGCCAAGGGCTGTGGGTGCCCGGAGAAAAGCCTTGTGACTCACCGGAGTCTGCTCCACACAGCACCGGTGACCTGCCCCAGGCAGGGGAGTGGCGCTGAGCCCAGTAGCGGCGACCGGCAAACCTTGTCTGGGTGCACTGATGGTGGTCTCACTCCGTGCAGATCACGACAATGCGGAGACAGTGGCTTCTGCCACACCATCACAGCTTCACTGCCTGTGCCACTGCGGCGTTCAGGGGCTGCCCACACCACCGTGCCCCCCTGCCGAGGAACGGGCAGGTGATGCTGATGGAGATGATGCCAGGGTGGGGTGGAGTCCCCCATACCATGCTGATTTTTTCCCTCAGCAGCCCAACTGGCTCCAGTTTTCTGGTGTCCATCTTACCCCGTCCATGCTGATGTAACCCACAAACGTGCCTCAGGTGCTTGGCGGTCCCCTCAACGAGCTGTGCATCGTCCCACCACGTGATGGGACCTCCCTGACTTTCCTACCATCTTCTCCAACTCTCGTGCATGTTTCCATGCTCCTCTGCAGCACACTCCGCTTCCTGAGCCACGCACTCCCCTCAACGGTGCATCTTAGCATTGCCCCCATTTCCAGCCTCGCATCCCTAATCTCCTACATTTCCACCTATTTTTACCACAAAACCTTTTGAACCTGGAAGGTCAGTTTGCCAGTTTGCTTGTGGATGGCTGACAACCAGGAACCAGCTTCAAGCACGCACAGGACCAGGTAAATCCATCTGTCACCAAAGCCACACTTTGCTCCCGGCTCCCACCACCTCCCCAGCACCGCCCGGCACATCAACACTGCTCTGCAGAGGAAACCCAACTAAAAGGAATTTGTGCCTGGCCAAGAAGGAAGGCTGTCCCTTCTTCCACGCTTTCACAGCTCTGGACTGACTCTACCAGATACAGATGTTGGACAGTGGATGCTGCAGGAGACTTTTCCAGCAGGTCCCCCTGACTGCTGGAAGCACCCACGCGAGTATCGCCCACCCACCGTGGAAATGCAGCCATCTTGGCGGGGAAGAAGCCACCGTGCACCTGATGCTGTTGGGTTTTGGGGGCTGCTTTGGTAACCCCAGCACTGGTGCAGCTCAGCCACACCGATGCCAGGGCTGGACATTCCCCATCGCCAGCCCAGCCCAGGCTGCCAGCTGCTCCTCCAGGGATGGAGAGGGACTGAGAAGCACCATCTTTAGTGCTTCCCAGCATGCCCAGCAAGGTAAAATGCCCTAACAGCATCAGCAAGAGATGGACAGGCCACAGCACAGGGCAGACCCAACCTCATCACCTCCCCCTTCTTTGTGCCGGGCTTTCCTCCTGCTGTTCACGCCGGGACTGCGTGCCTCCTTCCCGCACCACACAGGGCTGCCGGGACACATGGGACAGGGGGGCTGCCACATGCCCCAGGCACCCTGCCCACCGGCACGCACACCGAGGGTGGCAGCAAACAGGACACCTGGAGCAGAGTCCCCTGCATGGGACCTGACATGTCCTGTACCCACCCATGTGCTGCAGAGATGCCCCTTAGTGGGATCAGAGGGGGCTGAAGGACACCCCCATCCTCTCCTCCTGCACGGGAGCAGGGGAATCTGCACTCAACTGCCGCAGCACGGCCCAAGGTCTCCATCAAAGAACCTCATCCTGCGATGGTCTTTGCACCGTGGCATGGGCACAGGGCTGGGGGGACTCAGTCGTACCACCCCCCACTGCATGCAAACCGCCTCTCCACGCAGCCCCCAAGGCCAAAACGATCCTTCTTGCATCTATCTTTTTAGCAAAATCCAAAAATCGGTGTATGGACGCTGTGCTCTAACAGCTCCCAACTCATCCCTCTCATGCGGTCACCCTTCGCCACCCATCTCCGAGACGGAGAGCATCCGAGCAGAGCCGCATCTGCCCACCGCATCCCATACCAGCAGAGAAAACCATCCACCTACCTGCTGGAAGAGCTCCTCCGCCCACTGCTGTTGCTCTCGTCGGCCTAAGGGGGCAAAAGACATCAAAGAAAAGGCTGTTTAGGTTAAGCAAGGCAAGACTGCCCTCCAAACTCTTCCTGCAAGCAAGCTGCACCCAAAATACCTGGGGTTTTTCCATTCTGAGTTACACACATGCCCTGTGCTCAATGTTGGTGGGACATGTCGTGCGCTGAAACCCAGGTCTGCAGGAGGCTGCGGCAAGATTTCAGACACGGCCCCACCACGGAGGCGACTTTCTGAGTCGATTCCCTCCAGTTGCTCTTGTGCAATTATTTTATTGCACTTTACCAAAGTTTAAAGTAACAAACCCTCCTATGAAAAAAAAATACGCAATTTGCAGGGAGAAATAAGGCAGAAATAGCCAAATTCAATGCTGTGTCCAAGCTGAGATGGCCCCGCTCCTGGATTAGAGGGGCAGGTCCAGCGCACCTCCCTTCGTTAGCAATGAATTGCCTAATTGAGCCCCTCTGGGCTGTTAGAAGGGGCTGAGCAGGGACAAACCAGGGTCTCCTCCTTTTTGCCTCCTTGCCCTGGCTCTCTGATGAGAGGCTTCCTTGGAAAGACAATATTATTCCAAACCCAGAAATTTTATTTCTGAATTTGTGCAAATACAAGTTAAAAGATATTAGCTGCATTTCACATTTTGTGCAAATGGCAGAAACAGGCAATTCATGTGCAGCAGGATGGGGGCTAGCCAACGATTTCGATAAAATAAACCCTTTTTTAATTTAAATGCTAATGCACTGAATTAAAATTTAATAACTGAGGAAATTGAAAAGCCGAGCAGGAATATTGGAAATAAATCCAAGCAGAAACAGCTGAAATTAAAAATTCTAGAGAGTGGGAGGATAGCAGCTAAGCTGTCTTATATGATTACATTTTTTTTTTTTTTTTTTTTTTTCAGAACGAAGGGGGGAAGGAAAAAAAAAATCCTATCTTTGGCTTGCTGTAGGGCAGTAAATCGAGAGTGCTGTGATTTATTGCTCAATTTTCCTGAGGGAAAAAGGCTTTCTTTCATGCTGAAATATTTCATAAATTTCAAGCCAGCATAAATTCTTAATTTAAAAGTTATGGAGGTCACATTTAGTGCACTGGTGCAATTCTGAATTCTTAAAGGAATAGCAACCAAAAATTGCAATTTGATTTTATTTTTTTAATTCTTTGTCTGAAATTTTGTTCAAACAGATTCTCCGAGTTACACAAAGCAGCAACACATCCTGGCTTCTGAAGGTTTAAGAAATCCACTGGAAATGAAGAGATAAAAATCTAATTCAATTACAAAAAAGTATTTTTTTATTATTATTATTATTGTTAGCCACTTGAGGAATTTCTGTTAAAAAATTTCCTCCCTCCATTGCCTGGGAAAAGCCAGAAGGGAGGAGCTGACAATGTAATTGCTTCTGTTAGATCTCCAATCTTTTGTGAGCACTGATATGTTCATTTGTTATACAGCTGTTCAGCTACAGAAAGGATGTCAGAGCACCCATAATTCAAAGCAATCAATCAAAAATTAATGATTTGTCATGCTTACACAATGGAAAGAAAAAAAAAAAAAGCTTTATGGGTTCCTGCAACTGGTAGATTGCTCAAACCTTCGGGGCATTTTCTAGAAGATTAGATCTGTGTGTACAAAAAAAAAAAGGAAAAAAAAAAAGGGGGGGGGGAGGAGACTTAATATACAGCCCGGGCAGAAACCTTGTGGGGTGCTGGGGCATCGGTGTTATCCGAGATCCCCTAGGGATGGGGTACGCTACAATTCCCATCCGTTTAAAAAGCTTTCTGCACAACCCAACCTCGCAAGTCACCCTGCGAGCCACATTCCCCCATCGAAGAGAAATTGCCCAGGCTCCTGCAATTATAATTCCATGTGAAAAATGCCCGCTGAATATAAAGGTCGCCTGGATGAGTGCTCGTGAAAGCCGCAAAATACAGACTCCAAAGCTAAAGGCACAGCCTCCACTCTGCCTTCACATCACCTGCAGGACCACTGCAGCCGCAACACCAAATGTCACCGAAATGTTACCAAAAGTTAAAACATTTGAGTTTGGGAAGCACATAGCCAACCTCAACTTTGGAAAACTGTCTGCGATTGCGAAGTCATTCATCCTCCATGTAAGCAAGAACTTCTTTACATATAAATTCATTTTGGGAACGCGTCGTGCAGGGACTGTGCTCCTGATACGAAGCGTATCGATGTCCCGATGCCGTATTTTATTCCTGGTTATACACACGTGTTAGCTGGTGTCTCTGATGTGATTTACCGCCCAACCTAACACAAGTATTACTCTGTGAAGGACCATGCATGCAATTCATTTTATGTTCCTTTTCATATTTGTATTTGGAGTTGAGCGAATGAATTGCTGGAAATAAATGACGTGGTGACTGCAGCCTCTGCAACTCCCGACCATCACCAACCGACTGCATGGCACCTTCTGGGGCCAATACGCAATTTTATTATTTACTTCTTTTTTTGCTTATCTTCCCCATTCTTTGTGTGTCTGCCCTGCCTGATTTCCCCTGTCTTTTTTTTATTTTTTATAATGCCGTTTTTTTGCTTTTTGACCTCTTTTCATGAGCAATTAATGGACTCCCCTCTCTCAGGACGTAGCGCATACCAGTGCAAAGGACAAGACATGCATGAAAAGCACAGAAAGGGAGGTGCAACGGTGTGACCCCACCAGCGTTAGGGAGTTTATTTTAAAAGAAAAAAAGAAAAAAAAAGGAACCGCAAGAGGTAAAAGCTCTCAATCTAGATGGTTTCACACCACTCAAGATGCTCTTGGAGAGGAGGCATCTCCTGGGCATCTCCCATGGGGGAAACATTCAAAACCCACCGACGGACATGGGCACAGCTGGCGTGATTGTTTTTGGGCTGCTGCAAGCCCACGACTGACTTCCCAGTTTGGATCCTTTAGACCTAAACAGCAAGCCGAGTCTGAATGAAATCAGATCTAGCTGTCTTAAAGGTTTCTGGATGCTTAAATAAGCCCATCCTCACCAAAGGCGCCACCAGGAGACACCTTCACACACTCCTCCAGTTTCCACACATGCAATTAACTGGCAAATTTTCTGTGCCAGCAATTTGTCTTGGTTACAAACTCTTCAGGAACAGCTCTGTTTAGTTCAGCACTCGTGCAGTGCCAAGCACAGCGAATCCCGGCCCGTCCTAAGGCTGCAAGATGATTTAATCATAAATCACCAGCACCCGCACTACCCGAGACCGTGGCGTGTCCAGCCAAAGCGCAGGAAGATAATTCCCTCTGATCGTACACGGTATGCGAAGGAGAAAAAGCATAATAAAGACGCGCCATGGTGTTCTCCTCAAACTTTGCAAAACAAACACAATTACAAGCTTAATAAAAAAGGAAATATTTCAGCAAAGTGTATATAACTTGACCTAAGTGAGCCATTTGATGGCCCTCAGGTCTCCATGGAAAGAGGCAGGGCCACCGTGGCGTGACGCCCAGGACCCTGTTAGGTGGCTCCGACCCTCAGCAATCGCAAAGCAAATCTCAAAAACAACTTCCGACATCAAAGACCGACAGACTACGAAATCAGTGGACGTGTCTTCGGCACCTGGCCAGGTGGCAGCACCCGCTGTGCCGCAGGATGGGGCTGCCCGAAGAACCGGCCACGGCACCCAGCTCGACCCCCCTGGAGTAGCCTGGGCAATTGCCACCTCAATGTTCAGCAGAACATCTCCGCCCCATGGTGGCACCACCCCGGCCTCCAGCCCACGACCCCACTCGAAAGGCAACCTCCTCCTCTCCCGCTCTGCTCGGGGGTCACCTTCAGCACAGGGAAAAACTGGGCGACACGTACACGATTTTTAAAATCTGGCTGAAATAAGCTTTTTTCCTTTTATTTTGCAGTAAGCCCATTTTGGAATGAAATGTGAAGGGATGATGCCTTTTGCAGGCCATGCTATTAATCCATTTAAAATAAAACATTGCATTTAAATTCTAAAAAGTGGTATTTAAGGACTACAAATATCCTAAGCAAGCTGAAGCGGTGAATTGCTGGAAATCACCATTTAACCGCCAGCAGCCAGAATGTGCCGAAATGGGTCAGAGCAGCTTTTGACAAAGTAGCGTCTTTGGGAAGGGCGAAGAGAAATCTCCTGCGCACCAGTTTACCCAGATAATTTAATTCGGTGACTTCTTCATTTATAATTGAAAAAGCAGAGGAGCAGAGTTTGCATCTGCCTGCCAGTCGGCGAGCAGGGGAGGACGAACGCAGGGCTCTGAAACACGGCCTGGATAATTAGCCATACAATCTCTCATGTAAAATAATTTACAATTCAAAATATGATTCCCTAAAGCTGCTTTTGTACGTATTGGGTACGTTTAAGGTAGTTTTGTTTAACTAACGCTAATAAATATCTATTAAATTAAAATGCACAAGAGCAGAATGTGGTTTCTGGCCATATGCTCCTCAACTCAAGTCATAAGCAAAAAGTAAATCATGTGATAAATAAGAAATGTACCAGTCAACATCTCCTAACAGGATAAAGTGTCAAAAATTAGGAGTCCAAGCAGATGTATAACTGACCTGAGAAATGCATGTTTATAGAAAGGGCTACACTATATTGGGAAAAAACCCCAACATTTTAACAGTTACTGCGAAACAACAAAATAACTAAAAACCATAAAAATCTTAAATGAGATTTCAGAAGATTTAAGCACGGGCTTTCTGCCTGATCACTTAAATGATGATTAAAAACAATTATTCAAATCACTTGGATTTGCTTCCACGTACGCCACGCTCAGATCCGCTCCCACGGGCATGATGCCCAACACGGGACCGGGGTGCCAGGACCCCCCCATCCGCCACCGCCAAAGCCTTCCCCAGGGGGGGAAAAGGTTTTAAATCCATTTATTTATTCATACACAACCATCCCCCCGTGATTTGCCTCCGAACTTCATCCCGGCTCTGCCGAGGGGAGATACCCCTAATTCTGCCCAGGGTTTGCAGGAGGAGCAGAAGCCGCTCGCCCCGGCTCCTC